GAGACCATCATTTTTGAATTTAACTTGGAAACTGAAACTGTTGACTCAGGAAGACCAGGAAAATAACATTCAATATCAAAAATATTTAGCAGGGTTTGTGGATGACCACAGACAATTTTTGTTAGTATAGCCATATGATAACACAACCATTTATTAAAAATTTGCCTTTTTATGTCAGTTGCCTTCAAGAATATTAATTTTTCAAAAAGTTTTCAGTGCATGCAAAAACATTCATTTATATATATTTCATCATTCTAAAGCTAAAATTCTGTTAGATCTGCTATAAAGATTTGTAACACACACAGTTCAGGGAACTAACATTAAAGTGGAGTAGAATTGAACTTGCATCATTAGACAGCTATCAATCAAAAGGAATGGAATGTAAACAATCAATTACTGACAACTAGTTGTGAGCATGGTACAGTCACCTCATTCAGATTCAGTGCTACAGGTTATTTTTATATATAGAAGACTTATACAATTAATCACATGCAGGGAAATGCTTTGCTTTTCAGTTTAATACCTAGGTAACTGACATATGCTCCAGACAAAAGCAGCCAATTCTGAACTTGCCGATGTTGTTTAATACAAAGGTAACACATTACTCTGAGAGACACCTATATTTAACCAGGCAGTGGTAAACTTTTGGCAACAATTTGGAGAATGAATATTTGAATATATGAATTGCAAAACACTTCAAGTAACAAACTAAAATTGGCAAGTGTTGTCTCAATGTCAACTAACATTGATTTTAGTCATTACCCAATACAAGACATAAATTAGAATATTTCAAACTGATTGTGATTTTAAACTATGGAACAAAACACTTCAAGGAACTGCAGAGCCAATGATGAGCAGATCCCGCAAAAAAAGGTTTTAACTGGTCATTTGCATTGCTAATGCCATTCCGTTTCCAACAAAATAATGATCAGCACCAAGAGACATACACACGCTTCAAAAACAAAATCTAAAAGTAATAAAAAGAATCTGACAAATATATAAAATGTCAGCCCCTTCTTATGTTTAAACCTGTAAACTTAACAGCAGGAAAACCCTCCCACATTAATTATCAGAGGGTAATTATTTGCATTGAAATACAGTGGAATTCTGCTTAAGATATACATTATAATTCAGTCTGTTTCAATTAAATGTTGATAATGGCTAATTGAAGGAAACTAAAACTGTAGTGCTATGTTAATTTCTTTACACAACTGTCAAAATATATTCATCCATTTTTAGATCAGTAATGTGTGCCTGGTGCCTTATAACCACCAAGGTATGAGTCCACGAAAGCTATTAAACCCAGGCAAAATAAACCAAGTCAATATGTAAAAGGTTCTCATGACAGGCCACTGAAGACTAAGACCATCACAATACCTACAAAATTACAGTAGAGATTCTACCGACCAGAAGTAAATTCTGCCAACAGTATCAATGCTAAGTACCATTTAAAAATTAAGAACTACTTAACTTTTTAGAGTTGTGCCTAATTATATCTTAATCATTCAAATAATTATCCATTGCAAATAGTGTATTCTAGTAAATGCTATGTAAAGAGATTATAAGTGGTTCTTTGAGTTTTCGTCTACACATGCATTGTGAGGACTAATTTCCAGGAGTTACGTTACACTACTAATACTGTAAGTAAGATTTGAGGTCTGTAAAGAGATGAAGTGAAGCTACAGCTAACAGGTAAACACCTCAAAACAAAAAATGATTAAGACCTATATATATCCCACAAAGGGATAGAATTGAACAAAATATTTTTTATTGCTTGAAGAACAGACACTTTGAGTAATTTTTGGTTGAATGCCCATGTGATATTCAAGAGGATACTGATTATACCACATAATGAAGACACTTCCATTGGCTTTTTTTTCCCCAGGTTTCTGTTAGGTTTTTGTAGTGTTTCCTTTAGTAAGTATGAAAGCACATTTCCCGGAAATAAAACATCAGGAAGAAAAAAAAACTCCATATTTTTGAAAGGAAATACTCTTAAAAAACTTGCCACTATGAAAAATTCTTTCAAATACTCTCTGAAAAATCCCAGAGTCTCACCGACTTAAAAAAGTTAACCTTCCTCTGCAGGTTAACAACTTTCTTTCCTTGTAGCCTTACTCTATGGGATTCCCACTGCTTTTTCGTTATCATAGCCAAGGCTGGAAACTTGGTGGTCCATCAGGCACGCTGTCGCTCCTGGGTGAAATGCTTGCCTGTTCAAAACACACACACTGCATAAGGCCACCAAATGGAACAAAAATTCCCAAATTAAGACACTTTGACTTATTTGGGGAGAGAAAGTATATTTCCAATTTAGTGGACTAATCATGAATCAACCTAACCACCAACTAATTTGTATCAAAGTCTCCTTTCCCCTTTATGTTTGCACCTGGCTTGACACAAGCCATTGTACTAATCTTGGGTGTAAAACCAACTATTGCTCCATTAATAATGTCTTTTCCCAACAAATGTAAGATAACTCATTCGTGTTGACTACGACTTATCCTATTAGGGATTTCAATAATCTCGGTCTAGAAAGTGGCCAGCTATATTCATTTGGTACAGGGCCATTGACATTACATTCAAAGAATGAAAACATTGGGAACCAAATCCGTGCTCTTCGGCTTTGCTGATAGGCTCGAGTGTTGGCTAGTGTATGGTAATACAAAAAGAGTCTTGTGGTAATATAAAATGCGATGAAGACATCAATTGAATAATGTTCATGTGCAGCAAGGATAAAGAAGATCCCAAACAGGTTCAACACCCAAGACAAGGTGTGTAAGAAGTTCCAGCTTCTTGGAGTATCTAATTCACAGTTTAAAAAAGAACACATTAGGAATTATGTTTACATTTCTATTTCATCCAAGTTACCAACACAAGCATAAAATGAAAACAAGAATATAGAATCATAGAATCCCTACAGTGTAGAGAGAGATCATTTGGCCCATCGAGTCTGCACCAACCCTCTGAACAGCTAATCCACCTAGCCTGTACATCCCTAGTCACTACAGACAATTTAGCATGGTCAATCCACCTAACCTGCACATCTTTGGACTGTGGGAGAAAACCGGAGCACCATGTGGAAACACATGTAGACATCACCTAAGGCTGGAATTGAACCCAGGTCCCTGGAACTGTGAAGCAACAGCTAACCACTGAGCCACTGTGCTGCCCCGATTCAAGAATGATCACAGCCATAATCCACCACCAGAAAAAAAACTTTACCTAGAATCTTAGAACATACAGCACAGAAAGATTTAGTTCATACCAGATCTTTGAAATAGCTTTCTAATCAGCCTCACTCCCTTCCCTGGAAATCTTTCCCTTTCAAATATGTGCCCAATTCCCTTTTGAAAGTGATTATTGAACCTGTTACATACAAATATTTCACTTCATAGATTTGAACACACTAAATAAGAGCAAGAGCAAGTAATTCAGCCATCAAGCCTGCTCAATCTCAAACTCACTCTCCTGCTTACTTACTTTGATTCCCTTGTTAGTCAATATTTATCTACCTCTGCTTTCACAATATTCAATTACCATGCCTCCAATGTAGCGTCAGTTTTTCTTCGTCGATACCTTAAATCAGTGTTTTCTGGTTATTGACCTGTCTGCTACTGTAAACAGTTCCTCTTCATGTACTCCGTCAAACCTGTTCATGGCTTTGAGCACCTCTATTATATTTTCCCGTAACTTTTTCTTCTCTGAGAATATCCCACCTTCTCTAGTCGCTCTACAAAAACAAGATTCCGAATCTCTTGTGATAACAAGGTGCAGAGCTGGATGAACACAGCAGGCCAAGCAGCATCATAGGAGCAGGAAGGCTGACGTTTCGGACCTAGACCCTTCATCAGAAATGGGGGAGGGGAAGGGGGTTCTGAAATAAATAGGAAGAGAGGGGGAGGCGGATAGAAGATGGATAGAGGAGAAGATAGGTGGAGAGGAAACAGACAGGTCAAAGAGGTGGGGATGGAGCCAGTAAAGGTGAGTGTAGGTGGGGAGGTAGGGAGGAGATAGGTCAGTCCAGGGAGGACAGACAGGTCAAGGGGGCAGGATGAGGTTAGTAGGTAGGAGAAGGGGGAGAGACTTGAGGTGGGAGGAGGGGATAGGTGGGAGGAAGGACAGGTTAGGGAGGCGGGGACGATCTGGGCTGGTTTTGGGATGCGGTAGGGGGAGGGAGATTTTGAAGCTTGTGAAATCCACATTGATACCATTGGGCTGCAGGGTTCCCAAGTAGAATATGAGTTGCTGCTCCTGCAACCTTTGGGTAGCATCGTTGTGGCACTGCAGGAGGCCCAGGATGGACATGTCGTCTGAGGAATGGGAGGGGGAGTTGAAATGGTTTGCGACTGGGAGGTGCAGTTGTTTATTGCGAACCGAGCATAGGTGTTCTGCAAAGCGGTCCCCAAGCCGCTTTGACCTGTCTGTTTCCTCTCCACCTATCTTCTCCTCTATCCATCTTCTATCCACCTCCCCCTCTCTCCCTATTTATTTCAGAACCCCTTTCCCCTCCCCCATTTCTGAAGAAGGGTCTAGGCCCGAAACGTCAGCCTTCCTGCTCCTATGATGCTGCTTGGCCTGCTGTGTTCATCCAGTTCTACACGTGTTATCTCAGATTTTCCAGCATCTGCTGTTCTACTATCTCTGATCCAAATCTCTTGTGCCCAGTTGAGTTCAATATCAAATATCATCACTAACCCATCAGTTCTTTAGAACACTATCACAACAGAATCAAGGAAAGAACCCTGCAGATACATACATACCCAAATGTATTTAATGAGGAACAAATAAATTGCAGTTTAAGTTAAAGCCTAATTTGAATTTATAGTCTCAAGAGGTTATATATGATCCTTGACCACATAACTAGGAAGTCGCTTTTCTGGTTTATAGATGCAGAATATTCTTTGTATGTAAATGCTTACTAATAACAAATTTGTTAAGCACAGATCCAACTCAAATGGAAACCACTAAATCCAATTTGTTCCTTAATGATCAATCAAGCTAAAGGGGTTTTGCAACTAGGTGAAAACGTGATCTCGATCCTGCATATTTTCTGTGGCTCAGGCCAAAGCTGGTCAGGTGCTGAATGGTGTCCAGGTCATGAATCGCTGACTGTCCTGAATGCCTAGAAAATCTCTGTCAGATGTGGAGTTTCTCATGCTGAATACTGTCCGTGGCAACATCCCTAGGACAGGGTAATGGATGGACTTGGAAACAGTTTCTGCAGCATAGTTTGAGGAAAGAGAAAAATGTATTTGCATTTTTAATAATACTTTTCACAACTACCAGATATTTCAAAGTATTTTACACAGATACAAAAACATTTTCTGGGGCGGCACGGTAGCTCAGTGGTTAGCACTGCTGCCTCACAGCGCCGGGAAGCCGGGTTTGATTCCACCCTCGGGCAACTGTCTGTGTGGAGTCTGCACATTCTCCCAGTGTCTGCGTGGGTTTCCTCTGGGTGCTCCGGTTTCCTCCCACAGTCCAAAGGTGTGCAAGGCCAGGTGGATTAGCCATGCTATTTCTCAATCTCTCACTGCTGGGTTTGGCACCACACAAAACATAACTGCAGGGCAGAGTCACATTTGAGTTTTAAAATGTATCTGTACTCACCCCGCCTGACATTCTATGCTATCAACTTAATTATTGGATGCAGCACTGAACTCGCAGCTGACGGGTTATCATCCACGTTGTGGTCCCAACCAAGCAGAATTTCTGTCCTTTCAAGCCATTTTTTGCAAGAAATTTGATGTTTGACAGTTTAAGGATTAAACATGTTTTAATAAAATTGGACGGTTCAATAAATAACTAAGTTGGAAGAAAATAACCTTACTTCTGCAAAATTTTAATTATGTAAAATTACACACAGTTTACAATACAGAAACATATCATACTAGCACAACTGATTTACACACTGAGCCCTACCTATCTCTACTTCATCTCACCCTATGACTGTGTCTTTCTAATCCTCTCTTGTACGTACTACCTGGAACTTTAGACATCGGGAATAGCTTGTTAGGAGTTAACAGTGAGAATTTAATTTGATAAACATATGTAACACAACCATATTTTTGTTTTGGCCATCCAAAGACATTGTGCCCTTCATAAAACAAAAAAAAAATCAAGTCACTTAAGAAGTCTAACCTACATGTGACTTTAGACAGCAATGTGGGTGACCCTAAACCATGCTCTGGCCCAATAAGCATCTCAGTGCAAGAGAAACTAGGGATGGACAACAAACTCTGGCCTTTCCAGTGACACCCACATCCCAGGAAAGAATAAACAGCATTCAACAATTGTCTCAGGCCTTCTTTAAATATGAGACTCAAGTAGGAACATTTCATATTTACTGATTCATAGTAAATCTATTTTATAAATCTTTAAACAATGAAACCCTTCAAATATTCGCTTCCAAAATCTGACCCACCAAACACAATCATTTGAGTCATTGCATTAACATCATCATTGATGGCAATTCAATGCCTTTCCTTAATAAAAGTCAATACCCATTATGGTACAAATGACAGGTAAGTGCATTTTTATACCTACATTCTGTGACAAAGAAGTTAAGCATGGTAATAACAACTGTGTGCCCACTGAACATGTAGTCTCCACAGGTATGCACGCCTGTTAGAGTCATTCCAAAACCACTCCAAATTGCAAGTGCTCGTTGAAACTTGGCCCATACATCTCCATACAACTGAAAAAGAAAATATACATTGTTAAGTAACTACTACACATTTTTTGCTGAGACATCTGGTAGTAAATTTACAACCTCTTCAAAACAGCATGAGTTTAGACAATGATTGTATTATGATGATATGGACAGTGGCTGTCTGGACTAGAGTGACCCTACGCAATGCTTTAAAAATTTAAGTGAATTGTTACAGTGTTCCATTTACTGGTATAATAGGTTGCTTTGTATCTTTGTCACCGTAAAGTTGAATATGAGGAGCAAGGTTTGTGTATCTGGAAGTGTAACTTGTAGAAATTTGATGTGCTCACTTTATTAACTCATCATACTAAACTAAACTGTGCAAATTAAAGGCCAATTATTTAATTAACCAAGAAAAAATCTCGCAATAAATTTGTTTTTAAAATTACAACCATGAACCACCTTTCTGTCCAACTGACTATTTGCTCAGCATGGTTTACACAAACTTACTTTTCCAGAACACTGCAGATGATGGCCAGGCACAGAAAGTGAGGTAACAAACATAGTAACACAACGCAATAGAAACACTGTTCCCATCAGGCTACACATGCGACGAAATAGGATAGACCTACAGTGTCGTGAAGAAAAACAGCCATAAATACAGTTAATAAGCAATGCAGTTCAGTCCACAAATCTAACTTTACAAATCTTTATTTTTACCATTACATTCAAAACACATTTATATTTCCCAATCCTCTCAGAAGAGTTACACTTTCCCTTGATCTGCTACCAAAACACTGAATACTATGGATTTTATGCATTGTTCCTGTCCAATTTCAATGGTAGTATTGATCACAACAGATCCTAAGCATCAATGACAACAGCTAATATTTTCAAAAAATCATAATTAAAAAGAGACAACAAAATATGTTCTCTTTAAAGCTGTTTCCACTCTTGTGGTGGTTTCTCTGTCTTATTAACAAAGAATAAGTTAACTCGCAACCCATCCCAAGACACTGCATACTCAAAGAGAACATAATGGATGCCCCCAAGTGAAAATTCTTATTTAAATACATCATTCATTTGTCATTGTAGCACAGGCAAGATAACAAACTCTCTCTGACTGCAGGATAGCTCATATCAGAACATTTAATTTTTTTCTCTGAACTAGAAACCCTAAAAAGTTTAAGAAATTCTTCTGAAACCATCAGATTTTTGCTTTAGATTGTTGATTTCTTTTGGAGAATAGAAGTGAGATGGGTAAATTATTTTGCTTTTAACGTTATGACTGAACAGATAAGGAGCAAAATTGCCCTCTCTGCTCCAATAAATTTGTCAAAATCAACTGAAAAGCATTCCTACTTCAGTTTCCTTTACTGGTCAGCCTCATGATCAGGATCAGGAGTTGATAATGTAAATTAGAAATTAGGCAAATTTTTTTCTGAGGGTTGCAAGTCTTTGGAACTTTCGTCCTGAAAAGGTGGTAGAAGCAGAATCCTTGAACATTTTCAGATTCTCGTTATGCAAGGAGGTGAAAGGTTATCAACGGGGGGTGAAAGGTTATCAAGGGTAGGCAGAAATGTGGATTTGACATTACAATTAGATCAGCCATCATTGTATTGAATGGCACAGCAGACTTAAGGGATTGAATGGCCTACTCCTTCTTTCAACTCGCATGTTTGTAACACTAGGTAAATTTCTAATAATATTTCTGTAGCCAAATACAAGTTTCAGTGAAACATTAGTCTTATTACGACATCAGTGGTGGTTTCTGATTGCAAAGCCATGCATTATGCAAGTAACCGCTTTCAAAATGTTCATATTCCTGTCCCAACCGACTGGTTATTATTCAATTTATTATAGAGTAAACCAACTTAGGCTGTTATTTCATGCACAGTATATTCTCAACCAGCCTTTTGTTTCTCCCACAGAATTAAATCAGATTGACTGTTCTTAATTAGAAAATCAACGTTCCAGAGGAGATGCTTTGAAACTTGGGGTTAGTCAGGTGATAAAGAAGTGAGCAGTTGAGAATTTAGTTGCACAAAGAACTGGGATAGCCAAGCACTAGTTGCCCAGGGAAGACCACATGCAAATAGCTTTTGTAACACATCAGTTGATCATATAATGTGACCTAAATATGGGGCATAAAACTCATGATATATTCTGGGAAGGACTTCATATGAATTAAAATATCTTACTTTATAAGCTGCTCCTTTTTACTCCAATTGCTCCCCCACAAAATGAATAAATTCTGAAACATGTGAGCTTAGAAGTACATCAGGCTGTCTTCATGTACAAGCCAGATAGTCAAGCTACTAGTGATGAGGGTGTGTGATGGGGAGTGGGAAACAATAGAACAATAAGCCTAATCCAAATCCCAGTATGTCTTCAATCCACACTCATATGATAAAGCCACTCCAGGTGAAGCCTCTGGAAAGACATCAGGTATGGAATGCCTCGCTGTTTATTACTTTCATTAACTGCTATGCATGGCTTGAACCTATATGAGATTATGAAAAGGAATCAGACTGGTGCCTTCTTGATCTGGCTGGTCATTGCCGCATCATAGGATCAAATTTGTTTTTGTTCCAGGCAAAAGGTTAGTTTTAGAACTATTAGAACTACCGCATAAATACTGTATTAATTATTGTCCAATCTAAAACAATGTGGTTTTTAAAAATTAATTGTTTAGATTATTTTACATATTTTAAATACCTTTTCAAAATGCTAATCTTTTAGTTGCGATTTCATTCTTGATGGTTTAACAGCAAGGAATATTTCAAAAAGATTGAAATTTTGTTGAATATTTGGGAGGAAACTAATCTGACCAAGAAACTGAAAGAAACATTTTTTGTACCTGCTGAGAAGAACAACTTAGAAAAGTCGTGTCAAGTTATCAACAGTAACTTGCAATTTAAAAAGTGCTCACCAATCCCAATGTAATTTCTCAAAAAAAAGTTCCCTTTCTTCACTTTTGCAGAGCAGGTAAACATCATGAAGGATCAGTGCACTAAATAGCAACAATTTTCAGAAAAGGGGTGCAGGACTCCATTCTTAGGAAAATAACCTTGTTGTCTTTTTAATAAAAAAAAAAGGATTGCCTCGTAGAGGATTGTTGATGCACCTTAAACATCCTCAGTTACAAAAAGCAACTAAACCCAGATTTGTATGGTCAATTCCTCTCCATTCATCACCTGCATTGGTATGCCTTTTAGAATGGAACTTTAAGTTCTTTGACACCCTCTTCTCTTCCTTCTCTGCTTTTCCTTTGTCCACCTCCAAAGATCCACAGTAAAAATCAAGATTTCAACATTTAAATTGAAAAACATGCTTATAATAATCAAAATCCAATGTAAGGAGGCCTGAAACTTACCGATGCTTATGAAGCAGCAACAGCAACAACCAAATGCTGCAGAGCACAACACCACAGACTTCAGCCATTGCGAAAGCCCAGGGTATTCTAGGGACACTGCCAACAGAAACAGCACAATAAAAGGAATGTATACTTGGGAACGTAATTAATCTGGAAAGGTAGATTTTTTTCCCTTTCTGGGAATTTATAAACTTCATGATGAGTCTCAACAAAAACAAATTTCAGAAGTTTAAACACCACTCAATATAAAGGGTTATTCACCGTCTTTCTCCATTTTTCCACCAGTAATCAGTACAAAAATCGAAGGCAAGAGAAGTTGGGAACATAACCTTATATTTTCAGGGAAAAAGTTGCTTCAATTCAATAGAAGTACAATTTTCAGCAGAAATCAGATAAAGCACAAGAGAAAATCAAAAATTTCAATCACAGGCTTCTCTAGTATAAAACCGAAAATCCATGACTAAGATCAGATGAAATACAGAGGTTTGAATTCAAGTCAGTGCTGAATGAGGTGAATGAAATAAGCAGTTATCACACTGCAGGGCTGTACTGGTCCTTTCTTGCTATGAAGACAGATGGGATGCCTCAAGACATTGTTGTTATAAGCGACTATTAGTTAGATCAACTAGATGAACATGTTCATCATAACTTCAGAAGGGACCCCTTCAGCTTATGAATTGTTTGCTGTAATTTCAAAATCAATTGCCCCTTACGTGCAACCCTGGTGCCTGAAGTAAACAAGCAAAATAGAACTGAAACATTTTTCAACAGAGCTTCTTACTCAATAAGAGTTGATAAGAAAGTCAAATGAGCACATTAACACAAAAACTTGATAGAATAACAAACAGTAAAATGAACTTTGAAAAATATTCTTTGGGTTAAAAATGATTGCAGCAGACAGCTCAAAACACAAGATTCTTAAGAATCATATTTCTAAACAAGAGCGTCAACTTGGATGTGTTTGAAGTAGAATACAATAACAGATCATAAAAATGTCACACTTAAGATGTGCACTGTATGACATCAGAATTTTCATCTGCAATACAATGTGACAGCAATCTGGCTTCTGCTTCCTGACCCACATTGGTTCCAGGTAGAGCAATGTTTCCACTTTAAACTTTTCATCCAGATGTTCAAATTCTTCCAAAGCCTCTGTACTCACCATTTTTGTAAACTCCTCTGGCCTTCCAACTCTGGTTTCTTGTGCACTATCCATTTCCTTCAACCCACCAATGGTGACTATACCGTCAGAAGTCTAGTCCCTTCATTCTGGAACCCAAAACTCACTGGCTCTCTCATCTCCTTTAAAGATATTGGCTAATATCTTTACACCTTTGGCAAAGTTGTATCACCTGTCTAAAGATTTCCTCCTTTGACTGTCCATATTTCTGATTACACTTTTGTGAAGTGCCTTACTTTATCCATTCATGATATGTGTCCATCACTAGGTGCCTTGAGAAGGTAGCGGTGACCTGCCTTCTTCAACTGCTGCAGTCCATTTGCTTTAGGTAGACCCACAATGCCGCTAGGAAAGGAGTTCCAGGACTTTGACCCAACAAAAAAAATTGAAGGAATGGCAATATATTTCTAGTCAGGACGGTGAGCAACTTGAAGGGGAATTTGCAGGTGGTTGCATTCCCGTGTATCTGCTGCCCTTGCCCTTCAGGATGGTAGTGGTCATGGATTTGGAAGGTGCTGTCTAAGTAGCCTTGATGAACTTCTACACATATCTTGCAGATGGTACACACTGCTGCTACTGGACATTGGTGGTGGAGGGACTGAATATGGCGCCATTCAAATGAGCTGTTTTGTCCTGGATGGTGTCAAGCTTTCCGAGTGTTGTTAGAGCTGCACTCATCCAGACAAGTGGGACATATTCCATCACATTCCTGATTTGAGCCTTTTCAACGTTGGACAGGCTTTGGGGAGTCAGGATGTGAGTTAATCGGTGCAAGATTCCTAGCCTCTGACCTGCCCTTGTCACCACAGTATTTATATGGCTAGTCCTGTTCAGCTTCTGGTCAATGGTAATCCCTGGGGAACTGGTAATGGGGGAATGTCAACGGGCAATAGGCTTTCTTGATGGAGATGGTCATTGCCTGGAATGTGTGGTGCAAATGTTACTTGCCACCATTCAGCCCAACATGGATATTCTCCAAATCTTGTTATACTTCTACAAAGACTGCTTTAGTATCTGAAGAATCACAAATGGTGCTCAACATTGCTCACTGATAATTGCACATCACCACTTTTGACCTTTTGATGGAGGGAAGGTCATTGATGAAGCAGCTGAAGGTGATTGGACTCAGCAATATAATTGCCAGCTGTTGGTTTGAGATGAAAATGCTATACCTAGGTAAAGCTCTGCCTAAAATCTGTTGAAAATATTATTCATTTGCTTGTGTTCATAACTGCAAAGAATGGTAATCAAATTCTATTAAGAAATTTGGAATTTTTAAGGCATTGCTCCTCAATATAGTAAATTCATCTTGCATCCTCCTCATGATTAATATACAACAGTCAACAGGATAATGAATAACTTGCATTGTTGTTTGTGTCCATCTAGGCAAATGTAGCTCCTTGACAGCAAAAACAAATGCCACCAGTGGCAAACTTTATTAGCAAATAATGGAATAAAATCACACTAGAAAAACATTTTGCCACATTAACTGAACATGCCCAGTAACTGAAGAATTTATTGGAGACGGAGACACACCATTCTATTTAAATAAAAACCATTGATCTCCATGCTTTGTTTACGGTGTGAACAATTAAATCATTACCAAAGGTCAAGTAATTTCACAGTTGAGTATATCAACACTTATTTATATAGTACCATCATGGGAGGAAAAACATCTCATGACATTTCAGGGACAACTGTACCAACAAAAAGAGGCAATTGCTCAGACAAAAATCAACACCTAGCCAAAAATAACTCTTGGTTACAATATCTAGAAATTGGCTGAGAGAAGTGGCCTTTACAGAGGTCCTCACAAGAAAAAGAAAAAAAATTTAAAAACTAGAGGGCATAGGTTTAAGGTGAGAGGGGATAGATTTACAAGGACCTGAAGGGCAACTTCTTCACGCAGAGTGTGGTGTGTATATGGAACGGGCTGCTGAAGAAAGTGGTTGAGGTAGGTACAATAGCAATATTTCTAACAATAACCATCTCTAACAATAAACTAACCATAATGTCCTTAACATTCAAGGCACTTATCACTGAATCCCACATTATCAGCATCCTAGGGATTACTGTTAACCAGAAACTGGACGAGCTATATAAATATTCTGGCTACATGAGGCGAGGAATCCTGCAGCAAGTGACTCACCTCCTGACTACCCAAAGCCTGTCCACTATTAACAAGGCACAAGTCAGGAGCCTGATGGAATACCTCCCACTGGCCTAGATGAGTGCAGTTCCAACAACACCAGGACAAAGCAGCCTGCTTGATTGGCACCCCATTCACTTCCTCCATCACTGTCACCCACTAGCAGCAGTGTGTACCATCTGCAATGGGCAGTACAGAAATTCATCAAGGATCCTTCAACAGCATCCTCCAAACTAACAACCAGTACCATCTAGAAGGCAAGGGCAGCAGATACATGCTAACACTACCACTTGTAAGTTTCCCTCCAAGCCACTCACTGTCCAGCCTTGGAAATATATCACTGTTTTTTTCAATGTCACTGGGTCAAAATCCTGGAACTCCTTCCATAATAGCACTATAGGCATACCTACACCAGACGGACTGCAGTGGTTCAAGAAGGCAGCTCACTACCAATGTCTTATGACAACCAAGGATGGACAATAAATTTTGATCTACCCAGAAATGTCCACATCCATGAATTAATAAAACAAGATCACTTTTAAACAAAGGACAATCCTAAGACCGATATGTAACTACAAGCAAGCATGAGCCTTTCTGGACTTATAAAGTCTCCATACACCACGAAAATAACTAACAATTAAAAAAGAAAGAGACATGTTTTATTCAAGTATGATTTAATCCAAAAGAATTTCAAGTTGGTTACTTTTCACCTACACGGCCAAAAGACCCCATCCATATCCTACAAAATTTATGGTGATGGAGGGGAGAATTAGAGATCGTACAAATAGCAAATAGTAAAAACAAAGTTCAGAGCGAAGTCAGTTAGCTGAAGAATTACCAATAGGTATGGTCTTCTCCATTGTGATCAAACACTCACTCAATGTTCAAGACTCATTAAATTCCGTGTGGAAAATATATATTTTATTCCAGCTCATCACTTGATTTTAGGATAGACAAACAGTTTTCACTTTGATGCCACAATTTTCGCAGACTAAGTCTGTGTCAAATAAACAACTTATACCACGTGATAGATGAGAATTACTTTATAAAATTGCTCTCAGAATGTTGCACTATGTCTTAAGTGCCGATAAAAGTGTTTCTTTCTAACTGCAGTATGGCCCAAAATTTAAAAAGAAGACAACTTCAAAATCAACTGGACTCTAGTTTCCTGATCACAGATTTCGGTCATATTTTGAAATCCTCTTCCATTAGTTTGCAATTAAGCAATTAGATCTGATCATCATGCCCTTTCTTCTTATAGGTACAAACAGCTTAATTTCACATTATGGTAGAAATCCAAAATTGCAACATTTATTGCTCTTAACCTGTTTGCACTTTACTGCAATTAAGTGTGTACCGTGCTTAAATTTTTGAAATATACTTAAATCCCTTCTTTCCTTTGAAAAGGTATTTCATAACACTACCGAATGGCAGATTGCTCACGGTTACAGACACGTTAAGAAGTGAATTTATGAAAAGACACAGCTCTAACGATACTGATATGCATACAAACATATTAAATCAGCACAGAAACTCAGACGGTCCTATATGTGGTGTTGTACCAAACGGTGAAACATATGAAGAAGTAGTGATAGCAGCGATAAAGAATAGGCTAGGTGCTCCACATGAACAAGATGTTACGGTTTTAGTTTGCAAATTAATTTCTTTTATAAAGTACTGTTTATAATGTTTGCAAACATAACAGACCAGTTAATACTAATTCTGATGCCGTTAAATATTGGCCAGGACACTAAGCAAATTCCCAAGCTTCTTTGAAAAATGCCAGGAGATCTTTTACTTCCACGTAGATATTTGATCAATATTAGTCCATTGGAAAACATATTGTGGTGAATGTAGCTGAACTTGATATATAAAGCCACAAAGCAACACAATTACTATCCAAAGAATAATGCGCTCGTTGGCATTGACACAATTCATCTGCAAGTTGTATCCTAGTTACAAAAAAAAAGGTTGATTCAAAGCAATTAAGTGACTTACAGGAATGTAATTTCTTTAGTCTTTACACAGCAGATCACAAATTCAAAGTTTAATTAATAAGACTTCATTTGGTGAGCAAATTGTAATTTGCAATTTTTTAAATTATAATTTTTAAAAATTAGATGTTATAGGGATGAAAGCAGTCTGACTTCCATCAAATTAGTAAATCTCTAATACATACATTTCCTTAGAATGATAGCAAACAGTGATTAAGCAGATCACCATAAAAGGAAGAGAAATTACCAGGAAATTTTCACACAAATTCACAGTATGCTTTGTTCAGAGAATCACCTTTTGTCTTGTAAAAAGATGCTGTCTCCGTACTAACAGAGCTGAAGAGGAATAATACAGTTCATCCAAAACATTAAAAAAAACTTAAATTTCCATATTTAAATAATGCTTTTTGTCTTAGTAAATATTAGGTAAAAAGTAAACTGCAGAGGAAGGTTATTATTATTAATGAAATTTCCATCTCCTTAATGGTAAATAATAATTGAAGGCAGGAGGTGATGTAAGCTGATGTAATTTGTACATATTATCACTTATTTTAGAATTTAGATTTTGAATTAGTAGTCTGTGGGTTTTGGTCTGTGTATGAAGAGGTTGCTGATTAACTTGTCAATGTTTTTGGAGCCGTAATTGTGTTTTAAACAAGTATGAGGGAGAGTGACCCAGGAACGATGATGGGAATTTGTTTGCATTGGGAGAGTTTTACAAGCAGACAGCATCAACATTGAAAAGTATTAGATTATTAAAGAATTTTGGGACTGATAATTGACTGAAATTTGCCCACAGTATTGCAGATGTCAGAACTCTGAAATAAAGGCAGAAAAGTTGGAAATTCAGCAGGTTTGGCAGCACCTGTGGAGAGTGAAACATGATGAAAGGCCACAAGCTTGAAATGTTAACTCTTTCGTCACTGATGCTGCCAGACTGCTGAATGTTTCCAGAAAAATTGTCCTGGATAGTTCAGAAAAGCAGACCAACACACATTAGTTACAAAAATAGTTTCACACTTTTGAAGAAGGAGCTACATCCCAGTGTCTCTAAACATTCACTCCACTCATCAATAGGCAAAATACTTCCAAAATAGAATAAAAATCATGTTGACTTAATACTTACCTATCCAGGAATATGTCTGGTAGGGGTGGATATGTTTGCATGTCAGGCACACGTTCATGAACTACTACCATGACAATCGATGTAAACCCAAAGACTATGAATACATAAACAGAACTCAGAGCTGTCTTCCAAAACTCTGGGTCAAGTCTTCGTGTTTGATATTTGAAGTATTTGCCATTCTGATATTGTTCAGCCCTTAAGTCTCCACCAGAAACAACAGAGTCCCTGGAGTGATCCACACCATTACAGTGACAGTCTCTGCTTTGTGATGAATTACCAGCATGTGCAACAGTACCAGCAAGGCATTCATCACTGGCGTAGCCCATCTCTGCCAAGATGTCTTTGTGCTGCTTTTGTAGCTTCCGAATGGATACCAGAAGCCTTTTAATATCACCCAACACTTTCAGTTCTAAAGGTGGGCAGCGTAAATCATATTCAGTCAAAGTTAACAAGGCAATACCATCTAGTCTGTGCTTATTACAAAGAAGATCAACATATTCACTGAAGCCTTCCTCCTTTAGCCACTTGGCCACGTGCTTGCTGGTCCAGCTCCTGATATTAAACTGGCTTCCCATCATATTTCAACTGTGAAATAAAAACACAGAAAAGGTCAAATAACTAGGTGAAACTATTTTGTTTGGCATAATATCAGGTCTCGTATAAAAAATTTTACTGTTGTATTGGAGAACATTTCTAAGAATGAGGTTTCCCACTTTACTTGGGCGTAATTATTTGGGTGGAACTGAGAAATAAGAAAGGGATGATCACCTTATTGGGCTCATACTACAGAACCCCCTCCAATCGTCAGCAGGAAATTGAGAAACAAATTTGTAAGGAGATCTCAGTTAACTGTAAGAATAACAGGGTGGTATTGTAGGGGAGTTTAACTTTCCAAACATAGACTGGGACTGCCATAGTGTTAAAGGCTTGGATGGAGAGCAATTTGTTAAGCGTGTACAAGAAAGTTTTCTGATTCAGTATGTGGATGTACCTACTAGAGAAGGTGCAAAATGTGACCTACTCTTGGGAAATAAGGCAGGGCAGGTGACTGAGGTGTCAGTGGGGGAGCACTTTGGGGCCAGCGACCATGATTCTATTAGTTTTAAATAGTGATGGAAAAGGATAGACAAGAACTAAAAGTTAAAATTCTAAATTGGTGGAAAGCCAATTTTGACAGTATTAGGCAAGAACTTGCAAAAGTTGATTGGGAGTGGATGTTTGCAGGTAAAGGGACAGCTGGAAAATGGGAAGCCTTCAAAAATGAGATAACATGTCCAGGGACGTATCTTCCTGTTAGGGTGAAGGGCAAGGCTGGTAGGTGTAGGGAATGCTGGGATGACTAGAGAAATTGAGGTTCTGGTCAAGAAAAAGAAGGAAGCATATGTCAGGTACAGACAGCAGAGATCGAGTGGATCCTTAGAAGAGTATAAAGGCAGAAGGCGTACACTTAAGAGGGAAATCAGGAGGGCAAAAAGGGGACATGAGATAGCTTTGGCAAACAGGATCAAGGAGAATCCAAAGGGATTTTATAAATACATTAAGAACAATAGGGGAGGCAATGGTGTAGTGGTACTATCACTGGACTGTTAATCCAGAGACCCACAATGTTCTGGGGACCCGGTTCGAATCCCGCCATGGCAGATGATAAAATATCTGGAATTAAGAATCTAATGATGACCGTGAAACCATCACTGATTGTCGGCAAAAACCCATCTGGTTCACTGATGTCCTTTAAGGAAGGAAACTGCCATCCTTACCTGGTCTGGCCTACATGTGACTCCAGACCCACATCAATATGGTTGACTCTTAACTGCCCTCTGGGCAATTGGGGATGGGCAATAAATGCTGCCTTGCCAGCGATGCCCTCATCCCATGAATGAATAAAGGAAAAAAAAGGGGTAACTAAGGAGAAAATAGGGTCCCTTAATGATCATTAAGGCCACCTATGTGTGGAACTGCAAGATATAGCAGAAGATACTAAACGAATATTTTGCATCTGTGTTTACTGTGGAGAAGGATATGGAAGATATAAAAATGTGGGGAAATAAACAGTGATGTATTGAAAAATGTCTATATTACAGAGGTGGTGGTGCTGGATGGCCTAAAATGCACGAAGGTGGATAAATGCCCAGGGTCTGATCAGGTGTATCCTGGAACTGTGTGTGAACCCGGGGAAATGATTGCTGGGCCTCTTGCTGAGATATTTGTATCATTGACAGCCACAGGTGAGGTGCTGGAAGGCTGAAGGTTGGCTAATGTGGTGCCACTATTTAAAGAAGGTGGTAAGGAAATGCCAAGGAACTATAGACCGGTGAGCCTTACATCGGTGGTGGGCAAGTTGTTGAAGGGAACCCTGAGGGACAGGCTTCACATGTATTTGAAAAGGCAAGAATTGTTTAGGGATAGTCAACATAGCTTTATGCATGGGAAGTCATGTCTCACTGACTTGACTGGGTTTTTTGAAGAAGCATCAAAAGGATTGATGAGGGCAGAAGAGTGGACGTCAGTAAGGTGTTTGACAGGGTTCCTCATGGTAGACTGGTTAGCAAGGTTAGATCACATGGAATACAGGGAGAACTAGCCATTTGGATACAGAACTGGCTCGAAAGTAGGAAGCAGAGGGTGGGTGGTGGACGGTTGTTTTTCAGACTGGAGGCCTGTGACCAGTGATGTGCCATAAGCATCGGTGCTGGGTCCAGCAGCATCAGAGGATGAAGGGTCACGACCCGAAACGTCAACTTTCCTGCTCCTCTGATGCTGCCTGGCCTGCTGTGCTCCTCCAGATCCACACTGTTATCTCTGATTCCAGCATTGGCAGTTCTTACTAACTCTCAGTGCTGGGTCCACAGCTTTCTGTCATTTTAATAAATAATCTGGATGTGAACATAGGAGGTATGATTAGTAAGTTTGCAGATGACACCAAAATTGGAGGTGTAGTGGACAGTGAAGAAGGTTTCCTTGGAGTACAACAGGATCTTGATCAGCTGGGCCAATGGGCCAAGGAGTGTCAAATGGAATCTAGTTTAGATAAATGTGAGGTGCTGTATTTTGGAAAGGCAAATTAGGACAGGACTGGTAACGTCCTGGGGAGCGCTGCTGAACAAAGAGGCCTTGAAGTGCAGGTTCATAGTACCTTGAAAGCAGAGTCGCAGGTAGGTAGGATAGTGAAGGTACACTTGCCTTTATTGGTCAGTGCATTGAGTATAGGAGTTGGGATGTCATAGTGTGGCTGTCTAGGACATTGGTTAAGCAAGTTTTGGAATATTGCATGCAATTCTAGTCTCCTTACTATAGGAAGGATGTTGTGAAACTCAAAAGAGTTCAGAAAAGATAGACCAGGATGTTGCCAGGGTTGGAGGGTTTGATCTATAGGGAGAGGCTGAATAGGCCGGGGCTATTTTCCCTGCAGTGTCAGAGGCGGAGTGGTGACCTTATAGAGATTTTTAAAAATCATGACAGCATGGAAAGGCTGAATAGGCAAGGTCTTTTCCCCAGGGTGGGGAATTCCAAAACTAGACGGCAAAGATTTAAGGTGAAAGGGGAAAGATTTAAAAGGGACCTAAGGGGCAACATTTTTACACAGAGAGTGGTGCATGTATGGAAAGAGCTACCAGAGGGAGTGGTGCAGGCTGGTACAATTACAACATTTAAAAGGCATCTGGATGGGTATATGAATAGGAAGGGTTTAAGAGGGATATGGGCCAAATGCTGGCAAATGGGACTAGATTTATCTAGGATATCTGGTCGGCATGGACAAGTTGGACTGAAGGGTCTGTTTCCATGCTGTACATCTCCATGACTCTATTTCAATGCAAGACATTTCCTACTCTAAAACTCTAAACTACTCAAAACCAGAAAGCCCTTTTACATAAATGGAAGTAACTCTAGACACCATTCCTTGGTTCATGAAACGTACGTTAATATAAATAGTCTGTATTGCCGTCTCAAAATGAAAAAATTCAGTTTATCCTCATAAATTTTGATGCAGGCTTCAAGCCCATTAATTCAGGAATTCCTCAAAGCAAAATCCAATCATTAATAAATTAATTAAGATTCAGAAATGTTTTTAAACCAAGTACACAGTTTCATTGGAATTAATGAAACCACTCCCATTACAGAAAAATACTAGATGGAATTAACAATACATGACTGTGTTTCACTGAACCTTTTACATGTTACTGGAAATTATTTTCGGACAAAGTCTTTTTGCTGGGAACACAACTGAGCTGCAAGTGGTTATCCATGCACAAAAATATCCAAATTGACCAAATGAATAAGCTTGTCAAAAGGTTAAAGATAAAATTCCACATCTGAATACATTGCACAAGAGTGTCAACCTCTTGGATTGCTGTCCCTGCTCTTTGTGAATCACACTTTCAACCCAACCCTGCATGATAAGCTGTTCCCTAGATACAAAATATACAAGCGGTATTTCAAAATATTGTTACTAACACCAAATAAATATCTTTATTAAAAGTTTCATTTCAATCTTGGTATTATCCTGCAACCACTGGAGACGTAAAAAAAAAAGAGATCGAGAAGAGCTCATCAAACAGTTAAATGTGTTCCAGGATATTCAGAAGATAATCTAAACCAGGGAAGAAAGCCAAATTAGTAATATCAAATTGCAATGAATATCCTTCCAAGAGTAACATAATGTGCTGGGATTGTCAATGTAACACTACCAACAGAGTCACACAATTTACAGTAATGCTCCAGGATTAAAAATAATTCTTTACCTTTATGCCTGCTCTTCAGTGTAATATTACATTTGATTTATTCCACAGGAATCCAACAAATCTAATTTGAGAGATTAATTAAATTCCCGCTTTTCAAGAATAGTGAAAGAGGATACACCATTTAATGGTTGATCAGTCAATGTAACTTTGACACTCTTCAAAGACTTGTCCTCAGGATATTGTCCATTCCTTCCTCAGCCTCTACCCTGGGAGACTCATATTTCTTGCTGGTTTTAATCTCTATATCAGCATCTTTTACAATGAAGCTTCTGAATTCACTATCTTCTTTTCCTTTCCAAACCTCTCCTATCATATTCACTGTCACCCCTTGTGGCATCTCTACTCCCATGGTCTCTATTCCAGAAATGTCATTTTTAAATTGATTCATGAGATGTGGGCATCAGTAACATCACCAGCATTTATTGCCCATCCCTAATTACACTCGAGAAGGTGGCAGTGAATTGCCCCCTTGAATTGTTGCAATCCATTTGCTATAGGTACACCGATGCTGTTAAGGAGGGTATTCCAAAAATTTGACCCAGAAACTAAAGGAATGGGCAATGGACTTACAATTTAGGATTGTGTGTAGCTTCAACAGGTATTTCCATGGAGTGTTGTTCCCATGCATCTGCTTCTCCTTCTAAGATGGTACTGGTTGCAGGTTTGGAAGGTGCTGTCTAAGGACCATTAGTGAATGTTTGCAGTACATCTTGCAGGTAGTACACATTGCTGCCACTGAGCATCTGTGGTGGAAGGAGCGAATATCTATGGATGTAGTGCCAATCAAACGGCTAGTTTGTCCTGGATGGTGTCAAGCTTCTTGAGTGTTGTTGGAACTGACTTATC